CCCCCATCAAATCCATTCATAGTTACTCAAGATAGAAATGTTTTTAGTCAGCCTTTGGTTAACTAAAATGAAATATAAAATGCTTGTATAATATTAAAATTCTTGCAATCATACAATGACAGGTCATTGATATCAGTTACTTTCATAAAACCCATCTTTGAAGATGTTTTTCAGGGCATTATTGCCACTTTTTATTTTAAAAAACTCCAAAAAACTTTTTCAGTGAAAGGTTCTGGATGACCAATGGGAAAAGCAGTGGGTGAAATATTGGTAGGCAGAACCAAGGCTAAAAGTGGTTGAAGTTTGCAGGGATACATAGCTTTTTCTCACTGCCACCCTATCCATTTGTTTTTCTGTGCTGACCCCCCCCCCCCCCCGTGTGAGTGTGTGTGTGAGAGAGAGAGAGAGGGAGAACTTCATTTTCTCTCTCTGCTACCTGGCATGAAATTAAGACCGAAACCACAGATTCTCTACCCCTCATAGTAGTAGAGTCAGAAGGGGCCAAAAGGCCATCAGGTCCAACCCCCTGCTCAGTGCAGGACTCCAAGTTAAACCATCCCTCTCAGATGGCTGTCCGGTTGCATCCTGAATGTTGCTAGTGTGGGAGAACCCACAACCCTCCTTGCTAATTGGTTCTGTTGTCATACTGCTCTAACAGTCAGCAATTTTTTCCTGATATCCAGCCGGAATCTGGTTTCCTGTAACTGGAGCCCATTATTCTATGTCCATGCCATGTATCTTTGTTTGAAGGTTGATAATCCTTGCCTTCTAATATTAATAATTTTATTTAAATAATGCATCAATTAATCTGCTCCATTTTCCATGCATGCATCTCTTTTTATCCTAGTTTGGGAGTTTTGTTCTTTGTTTTGGTCAATGTATAGTCCTGTTTCAGGGGGAATCAGAACCCTTGTGGCTCCAAATTGAAGTGATCTATTTCATCCTCCTCCTACATACTAAAGATACCACAGAACAAGTTCACATATTTAGGCCACAATTTGTATGAGGCACTATTAAACTAATCATCCATGGGGGTGTGGCTTGCTATGTTGACTCAACCTGGGCAGTATGACTTTTTGGTGGAGGCTTCGGCAAATGGGGTGGCATAAAAATGTTTTAATAAAATAAAAAACAACCCTCAGATAACAGTCTGCCAGGTTATTTGAGGGTTGTTCCCCCCCCCCCCCACAAGCCATACTATTCAGGTTTGGATGACATGACAAGCTGTGCCCAGGTGGATAATTAGGCAAATAGAATCCAGCACAAGCTATGGATTAAACAATGCAATTTAGCCATAGCATCATGCTAACTTGTCCTAAGTCTGTGGTAAACCAAGAGGACTGTTTCAGTTAATGGGCGCTGCAGTACAGAAATCCAGTAGATCGATAAATAATGATCTTGGTGTGCAGAGGGAGGCTTAAACACACAGGTTCAATTTAGAGCCTGTGAAGTAGGTGTCACAATAGTCTGGTAGTAATCATTTCTTCTCTCTTGAGAGCTCTAAGAACTAGTTCTGCAACGTTGGGCTGGAGATTCTCTGCTCCCTCATCAAACTACAGTTTCCTGGATTCTTTGAATGGCAGATCCACTTTAAGACATTTTGCTGCTTGAGATGCCTGAATGGCTTAGGCCCTGATTACCTAAAGGAGCGCCTGTGTCCATATATGCCATCCCGCCCCCTGAGATTGGCGACAGAGGCCCTTCTCCGGGAATCCTCCGTGAAGGATATTTGGAGGGTGAGTACTCAGAGGAGGGCTTTCTCTGCGGTGGCGGCCAACCTATGGAATGCGCTCCCCAGAGAGGTCTGCCTGGTGCCGTCCTTATTTGTTTTTTGGCGCCAGGCCAAGACCTTTTTATTTAAGCACTATTTTAACTGTTAATGGTTTATTGGTTGGTTTAAATTGGCCAGGCTGGATCCACTATTTTATTTTATTTCATTTTATTTTTTGTATTTTATTTATCTGATGATTTTTTTGTATTTTATATGGGATTATAATGATTGTAAGCCGCCCTGAGGCTCATGCGATGGGGCGGCATATAAGTTGTTTGTTTGTTTGTATAAATAAATGGTGCCCCCTCACCGATTCAAGTGTTACATGAAGGGCAAGTGCCTCTATTATTTACAAAGGGCATTACATTGGAATGAAAGTCTGTGTCATCCATACAAGTGTGCTACCTTAGGGGAAAGGCCTTTAGTTTTCCTATGAAAAACTTTTATTTGTTCCTATGAATCATAACTGAAACTCAAAATAGTAAGTTCTTCTTAAGTATATTGAATTGTAGTCTTGAAACTAGGCAAGTTCTAATAAAAAGCTGGGTGAAATGTAAGTAATATAAAGGGAAAGCATGAAGGAGGGGGAGAATAGGGGCTTTAGCTAGATTTTGCTTCTATTTACAATTCGATGTTAGTGGATTTACTTAGCATGGAATTAATTAGGACTGGGTCCATGTATGACCCAGCCAAGCTCATCATATAAAATATAAAAAACTACTTTCTCCATTGGAAATACTAGTTTTTTATATTTTATATGATGAGCTTGGCTGGGTCATACCAAACACCTATTTTGTTCAGTACCCCATTTTTCACAGAAGCCAACCAGATCCTGTGGGATATCCAGAGCAGTCATACAGGGCTAATGGAATTAATTCTTACAGATATTTGTTCTGATATCTGACATTAAACTCATCCACTTGGATGAGCTTGTCTTTTAATAATAAGTAGAGAGGACAGATTCTATTATGGCCTTTAGGTTGGCAGCAGCCTGCTTTCTGAATGTTACTTTGTCTACACTTGTTCTCTTAATTAACAAGTTTGAAAACCAAAAGATGCTTCCAAGTTAAAGAGTTTGTGGGACTCTTTATGAGTTGATAGTTTGGGATAGACTTATTCAATAGGAGCACACAGAAAATATGTCACAGTTGAAAGTTGGTATAGTAATAACTAATACAGTAGGGAAAGATTCACTGGCAGTTAAAATTGGAACCCATGTGGGAATTAATGGAAAAGTCACTAGCAGCAGTCAGTCAGGGACATGACCGTAATGGAAGATTGTAATGGAAAGAAGAATAAAATAAATGTTTTATCTGTTTGAATGAAATGTTCTTTTATAATTTCACCACTTTTTAAACAAAGTACCATTTAAACATCTTTTTAAAAAGAAATGTCCTGTTTTGGTGGTGGGAAGATTAGGAAGATGCTTTGTTTGAAATCACTACAAACTGCCTCAGCAACCATTTCTTCTGAATCATATGCTAAAGCCATGATCATAACAGAATAAATAAACAGCACTGAAAATATTCAGCCTGATCCTATGCATCAGAAATATGTCATCTTATAATCTATCACATACATTTATCTCTTGAGTAAATATGCATAGGATTGCTTTTATCTGTTGATTATCCACATTATTTTAATGTCACCCATTCCATCAAGATAACTGAGCACTGCATTGCATATATTTAGTCCAAGAGTTCAAAATCAGTGTCTTAGATTGCTGATGTTTTGTTATCTAGAATAAATAGTGGTGAAAGGTTCTTTATGGAAGTTACTCTGTTTTGAAACTGGGCCAAAATACACAAATAGTGTTGTAACCTGATAGTGTTAAAGAATCTTCAGTTAAAGATTCCAGTAAAGGAAGGTCAAGGCTCCACTCTTAACTGGTTACAGCCAATGAAAGATCACAGCAGACAGTGATTTATCAAAATATGTACATATAGATGGTGCATATAACTCTTAGAGATAAGTGTTGCTTTATTGTGCATATATGCACTGCATTTATGTCAAAAATATCTGGTAAGCATAAACCCCCATCACAGAACTTTCTCAAATGAGTGGAAATGAGGAAGACATAGACATGTCAACACTTGTTCTCTTCATTAACAAGTGTGAAAACTAAAGGACGCTTCCAATTTGACCACTCTTTTTGATTTCTGCTGAACATAAGCATTAGCAGCTCTTGCAGCAAGAATTGGCTTGGTGGCATCATTACAGCAGAAAGATCCAAAAGCATTACTTCCAGCCCACATGTTTCATAGTGAAACAACAAAGGGGACTGCAAAGATTGGCCTGAGAGCTTCAGCATGTGCCATAATTTCTGCCATTCTAAACTTTAGCTGCGGGGGTGGGGGGGAGATACCGTGAAAGAAGCAAAAATAATCCTGAGTGAGGGGTTGAGGCAATAAATACATTGGTTCGATTTTCAGATAGCTCTGCTGAAATGTAACAGCACGGATCATTTTGGATGCCTCTCTCAATGTCATTGTTTCTTTAAATTTCTGTCCCTATCCGCTTTGTTTTACACGCTGATCCGGTTTTAGTAGTGATGTTGTGCTTTCGGGGAGGGAGGGGGTTAAAGACAGGCTGCAAAGCGCTCCCGTTGGCTGATGATGACAGAGACAGATCCCGCCGATAACTGGGCTCTCTGTAGTACTAGCGGTTTTGAGCGTTCGCCCCTTCGCCGACGATGTCGCCCTGCCCATTTTGTGGGCGGGCATCAGGCTGCGACGGAGTTAGGTTGAGGCTCGCTGCGTGTGTCTATAACTTTGTGTTGCCGCTCCTGGTTGTTAGGAGAAGGAATGTGGAAGTCAGCTGAGTGGAGGCTGAGAAGCAGCTCGAACGAATTGCAGCCGCCGCCGCGGCAGCAGCAGCGGCGGGGTTTCTCCCTGCCCGATCCTTCGCTCGTTGCATTCTCTTTGCAGAAGCATCGGGCGTGTTGCGCCGGGATTTTATTTTTGTAACGTTTTGTCGTAATGCCGCTGTTGCTTCTTTTTCTTCCAAAGTGAAACGAGCTGGAGACGGCTCCAGAAGCCAGGACCATGCCGCGGTGCTGCGTTTTCCACCCGTGCATTTCAATCCGGATTTCCTCGCGTTTCCACTGAGCCATTCTTTAAAATCTTCCTGGAAGCTGCCGCCTTTTGTTGCCGTCCCTGCGTCCCCTTCCTTCTTTCGTTTGCATGACCTCTCGCGCTGTCTTTTTTCTTCTTTTTCTTTTAGCCAATGCTTTTTTAAATGACTTGAGTGAAATGGGGGTGGGGGAAACTGTCAAGATGGCAGCGGCGGCGGCGGCGGCGGCGAGGAGGTTACGAATGTGGTAGTGTTGATGCTGGAACAAAACCTTGGCAGCTCTGCGAAGGACTTGGGCTTTCTAGACCTGTTGGAAGATCGGTGATTGGACTTAACAGGATTCTGAGCCACTCTTTCTCACATAGGGCAGGGTTTTTTTTTTTTTTTTTTTTTAAGGCAACAGCAATCTAAGTTTCTTTCTCCCCTTGATAAGATTTCCTTTTTCTTCACCTTTTGGGGGGGGGGGTGCATTGCTTTCCTTTTGGGAGGAGGCGTTTCCTTCCCCAAATGTATCGGGCGCGATCGGCTACGTTTTGAGACTTTGGAGTGTTGTGAAGTCAGGGAGATTACTGCAAGAGAAAAGAAAACGTCCGCCAAAGCAACAAGCAGGAGAGACGCGTGGCTTTTTTCTCTTTTTGTATTAATTTTTAAGCGGGGGCAGCGTGAGGCAAGGCGTGGGGGGGTCTCTTTAATGGATACAGCGCGATGCTATTGGAGGAATTCTGCACGGAGTGAAAGATAAACAAACACACGGGCGCTCCGCCGCGGAGATTGGCTTGCAACTCTGCCGTGTTTGGGGCTTCTTTCAGAATCGGTCGTCCACGCGAACTAGGCGAAGGGAGCGCGCACCTGGCGCCCCCCGGATTGTTTATTGATCTCCCTGTGACTCTTTTTTAGAGGGGAGGGGGCAAGGGCGGAGAGGTGAAAGACTGAAAAGGAGGCGGCCGGACCTTTAATGGAGAGTGGCATGTTTGCTCAGCCTCGCTGATCGCTGCTAGGAGGTGCGAGAGGAGGAGGGACCGGGCTCCTCTTGGCGGACATCCCGCCCCCCAGGAAGAAAGATCAGCTTCAAGAGTGGGGGAGAGGCCAAGATGGCAGAGGCGTCTCCCCCCGCCCCGTTGTCGCCCCTGGAGGTAGAACTGGACCCCGAGTTCGAGCCCCAGAGCCGCCCTCGCTCCTGTACGTGGCCCCTGCAGAGGCCTGAGCTGCAGGCGAGCCCGGCCAAGCCCGCAGGGGAAGCGGCTGCCGACGACGCGTCCATGATCCCGGAGGAAGAGGACGACGCCGACGACGAGGAGCAAGGGGGCAGCTCGGCCATGACCGTCGCCGTCTCCAGTGGCGGCGGCGAGTCCCTGGCCCCGGAGGACACGGCCCGCCTTCTGGCTCCCTTCTCAGGGCTGTCCGGCGAGGGAGGCGGACAGGGCGCCAACGCGCCGAGCGGCGGGCAGCAGCAGCAGCAGCAAGCAGGGGCGGCGGCGCCCAGAAAATGCTCGTCGCGGAGAAACGCGTGGGGCAACTTATCCTACGCCGACCTTATCACCCGCGCCATCGAGAGCTCCCCAGAGAAGCGCCTCACGCTCTCCCAGATCTACGAGTGGATGGTGCGCTGCGTGCCCTACTTCAAGGATAAGGGCGACAGCAACAGCTCGGCCGGCTGGAAGGTAAGTGCCGAGAGAAAAGTTGATGGGGGACGGCGCGGGAGGAGAGGAGAAGGGCTGCAGCTTTCCGAGGGAGACATGTGGATCCTTTTCTGCTCCTTCCCTGTGCGGATAGCATTTTCACGTTCCCTGTGACTTTTACAAGGGAGGACTAGAAAAGATCTGAGGACAACCTATTCCCATTTTGCCGTTGCGGAATGCACGCGGCACGCGTAATCTGCATGTGCGTGTTAATTAGTGCAGAATAACGATCACCCTCTGGTTGTTTCCTAGATAACAATCACTAACCCCTTCCAAAGAGAACGCATTGAAAGGGCGGGAAAAGATCCAGGCTTCTACAGCGACCTCTCGCTCCCTCTCCAGCCTATAGAAAGTGGCTCAGAGTGTTAAGATCATTTGACTTGACTCGCGTAAAAGTCGAAGTAGGGGGTGACCGAAGGAAAAAAAAAAAAAAGAGATACTCTTGAACTTCTTTTTTAATAACCTTTATCGGGATAGAGAAGGCTTTTAAAATTTGAATTTCCTTCTCACATTTCTCCTTCTTTCTCTCCCTCTCTTTCCCACTCCCGTTAATCTGTATGATCTAGATGATGAGCTGATAGTGTTTTTCAGACTGGGATTGAAGAGAGTCCCCGTATGACTTTGGGAGCAGTGACTGCACCCATGACGTGTTGCTGAGGCTACAGGGATGTACCCGAGTGGCACTTTGTTCGTGCACCACATTCCCCCTCCTGCGGGACTGGTGGGGCCAGTGTTGTCCCAGCCGCAGATGCAGTGGGGAAATCACTGGAGCAGGGTGGGTGGTGTGGTTGGCACAACCTGTGGGCACAGGTGTGCCCTGGAGGACCAGGGTGAAGGCACCTGCCTCTTCCACTGTGCTGCACTACATCCCTCCCCTCCCCCGCCTGCCCCTGCAGCAGCTGCCATGTGGATGCATGCAGAGAGTACATTCTTCCAAGGGTTATAGCTATAGGCATGGCTTTCCCATTTTGTAAAGAAGGGAATCAAACGGATTGCACATTGCACAGTCCCCCAGTTAAAAATTAAACAGTGGTGGTGGCACAGGTGCTGGTGGTGAAGGCAGTGGTGTGGAGAATGATCAGAGTCCAGAAGGGTTCTTTTGAAAGCAGTGATGCAATCCCTTCTGTTCCTACCACCTGCAGCTGCCTAAACCAGGCTGATATATTCTGAGAGCTTAACATGACCTGTAGTTGTTGCCACCACACAGTAAAGCAGGAAGCTTTGGGCTTGTGCCAACTGCGAGCAGGAATCTCAGTGGTTGGTTTGTTTCAATAGCAATATGTGCTTGTGTTTTGCTAGTCATTGTCGGTTTTCTTGTAGCCAAGATATGTGGCAAAAGGAGATGGTAGAATATCATGTTCAGTTAGCATCAGAGTCAAAACAATCGCTTGTTCAAATCTACAACTGCTGCTGCATGAGCAGTGCTCATTGTTTCACGGGATTATTTGTACCCTATTGATACAAGAAAACTGGAAAAGAAATATAAGGACTTTTCCTGTGTTTGATACTTTTTGTATGTGTAGCCTTACATAACTGAATATCAGCACATCTTACATTTTAAAACCTATTGTAGAGCAAAAGACAATGTATGGAATTGATATACTTTTTAATATCAAGCAATGAAAATAAGTGAACCTGGGTGTTGCAAGAGTACACTATTAAAAAGGTAAAGTCTTGGGAAGTTAAATATTTAATGGTTATAGAAAGCAATAGTTATTGCTGGCATTGAGAACCAAGGAGATGCTCTTTTACATGATACAGTCGCATATTACATTACATGCCCTGGTTTCTATTAGAAAAATGTGGACTTTATCCTACAGCCTTATAAATAACTTTGAATAACAGGCTAAAGTTGGGATGCGATTCTGCAAAGAAGAAACACTTCGACTTACATGCTGTCTTTTGTTGCTGTGATACTTTAAACACCAATGGAATGCTGTGAATGAAACATTAGCACATCTTTTTTGTCTGCCTGGGGTAAACATTTCTTCATGCTACTGGCACAGACTGGCAGTTGAGTTTGGTAATGGTCTATTGCAAATGGACAGTCTAACCCTGAACACACCACTCTGGAAGCAAATGCCAATGAACCCTGTGGCTTTATATGCTTACTTGGAAGTAAGCTTCATTGGGTGTGATAGGACTTAAATTCCACTGAAAAGGCATAGTAACGGACTTATGGTGTGCTGAAGATGAGCCTGTAGTTGAAGTTTATATAATTTGATGCTTGTATACAAATCATGACCAATATCCATATTTCAAATCACTCCTCGGGATGGGTCTTACATTATATACAAATCTGTGAGGAGGAGGAACAGTTTGGGACCCTTTTAGAGTTTAAAAAAATGGATGGATAAACTATTAAATGACTCCTTTGACTGTGCCACTTCTGTGCTCAAAATTGTAACCTTCAAAGCTGCTTTTCTTAAGCAACCCTCCCCCATCAACAACAACTTTTTCAGGGAATGGTTACAAACATTTGTGTATAACATACAGGGAAAACTAGATTCTCACCCAGCCATGAAATTCACTGTGTGAAATTGAGCTATGCACTCCTTTTATGTGAAGATCAAACGGGCAAGCAAAAACCATGCAAGTACCTGTCACTTTCCCCACCTCCTTTCCAGCCATCCAGCTACAGCTTATCCATGTTGTGCGTAGACCATGGCACTGGAGAGGAACACATTGCGTAAGCCACATGGAGCTCCTGGAGGAAGTAGAGGCTATAAGTGTAATTCAAGAGTATTGTTGTATGGAAATCCATATTGTACATTCTCAATTCATTGCTCCCCATTTTGGGTAATGAAATGCCAAGCCACAGAAAGAGAGGATTACCATTTACATTGGAGATGGTCAGTCTTTTTCAGAAAGTTGAGGATGGTATGACAAAGGCATTGTTGTCCACTGAGTGTGCTCTATTGTCATTGGTGCTCTCAGGTTTTGCAAGGTTTTGTGGAGCTTTAGAAGCCAGCAAAACCTGTTTGGCCAGAGCTGTTAGTAGGACAAAACAAGTACATGTACACACCATACAAGCAATGATGTTTCTACCATACCATTTTCTTGCACTGTCTGTACAGATGTATTTTGACATAGGTAAATAAAAGGAGGACAGTGTCACAGATTGCAACACTTTATGGCATGCATTCCAACACAGAAGGCTCTTATATGTAGTTAGTACCAAGTATCTTACGTAGTAGGAAAACAGTCACACGTATGGGACATTTTTGCTGCTTTTGTATGGCCACTGTACCTGGCCACACCCCGTGTGGATTATTGCATGTGACGAACTGAATGTAGGAATTATTTCCTACCTGAACAGGCCTTCTAAGTATGACTTTTGTCATTTATTATGAAGTAGCCATACGTTTTTCATTAGCAAGACGGTGTTTTTCTTTCATGTTTATCTGCATCACCAGTGTCTGTGTAGTCATGTAAGGGTATTTTTAGTTATTAAATAGTTATGTGATCACGATATAAATCTAATAATAAATCTAATAGTAAGTGTGGAAATAAGTATTTTATAGTAATAACATAAGGGTTATTAACATAAACTGTGCCTATCCTTGTACATGAGAATAAATGTCATGGGTTTTTTTTTCTATACACTAAATTGTTGCTAATTTGTACCCTTATGGACCTGGTAAGATCTTGCATACAGAAAAGGGAAAACAGTTCATTTCGGCAACTTTTATAGCACCTCTCTCAAAGGCATGAATCAGTCCACCCATTCAAAATTCTACAGTATTTACGATATAATGTAGAAACATTTTCCTCACCCAAATGTCTTCATTTGGGTGTAAAGGAAAATTTAGAGCATACCATGCAAATAAGCCATTTGTTAGTTTGGCATCCACCACAAGGTTTTTATTCGTAGCATCTTCTCATGTCCCCTTTTCTCATTGGGACACACTGGTGGATATATAAGTGAAAATGAAGATTTCCATAATCCTGACATGAGTACTGAAGAAATAATTTGGGATACCACTTTGATTCAAAGGAAAACTTTTTTAAAAAATAACAATGCCCAGCAGTTTAAAAACAGTTGTATCATGAAATGCATCTATGCATATTTGCATTCTGATCTATATGCATTTCCATGAGATTCTGTGACTCTGATGTGAGAAAACAGTAAGGCTTCAAAGACCTGGAATGAGAAGTAATGCTTTTCATACTGAGCCTGGTGTTTATTTGTGAAGTGTCGGATTCAGACATAGATGTTTGGCATGTTGTTTATAGCATCCAAAACAAGCCTTTTAATTGTTACCTTCTGTATTCAGAAAACTTTATCAAATGGCTAGAAAAACAACATGTAGCAGTATACAGGGCTGAGCTAGCAGAATGTTCATTGATTTCAACATCAGTAGGATCTTGGCCATAAAGCACTCACATTAATTAAATGGCTAAACATACTTGAAAATTTCTGATAATTTACAGTTTTAATTTGATATTGATTTCAGTTCTGAACAGCCCTAACCAATGCTTCAGACTAATTAAAACGTTGCATCCTTGGATTCTTGATGGTAGAAGTTATCTCAAAAATTTCTTGATGATGTCCAACATGACCCAACTGGAAGATGAAACAAAATTTGAAATGCAAAGTCCTGTTTATTTTTAAAGGTCAGTCCAAAATAGATCCTAACGATGTTTCTTCTAGGTAGTTTGGCATGAATAGAAATGAATATGGACTCTCCATTACGGAAGTACGGAGAATGTTATTTCATAGTAGCCCACTGGTTTCTGTAGAACAATGGAGAAACAAGTATTTCCAATAATTTAAACTTATAACTCCATGGGCCTACCCAAATACTTAAAAGAATGGATTGGATTCAGTTTGCACTCCATGCAACAGAGCCGGTGGAAGCAGATTTCCGTCTCTCCTCCTCCCCAAGGCAATTCATCTAATCCTGAAATTCCAAATAGAGGGTTGGGGGACCATTGCCAATGGGGTAAACCAAAGGTGGTTGCCTTGCTGGACTGTACCT